GTGTGTGTGTGTGTGTGTGTGTGTGTGTGTGTGTGTGTGTGTGTGTGTGAAGCTTTTTTCTACTTTTCACACTGTGTTAACATCTAAGAACTGAATTCAGTTCATTTCAGTTTATTTGTATAGCACCAAGTCACAACATGCGTCGTCTGAAAAAAGAACAATCTAAAGAAGTCATCAGATTGTGTTGAATCTCTTCATCACAGTCTCTCATCCTGAGCAGCACATTGGTGACAGTGGAGAGGAAAAACTTCCCCTTAACAGGAAGAAACCTCCAACAGAACCAGAACTAGGCTCAGCACAGGTGGTCATCTGCCTCGACCAGCTGGGTTTGGGGGGACAGGAAAGACAAACACAGAAGGACTGCTCCAGGTGTATTTTCTTCTGGAAGAGAGGCAAAGAAAACACGTTATTTATAGAAATAATTACAACAAATGTAGAGGAGAGTGACTAAAGACAGCAGCAGAGTGAGGACATGTGGTCAGTTAGAAGACACAAGTTGCTGGAGCATATGGAGAGAAATGTTGACTCGTTTGATGCAGGATTCAGTCTGTTCAAACAGCCAATGTCAATGTCAAATTTATTTGTGTAGCACATTAACAACAAAAGCTGACCAAAGTGCTTCACAGTTCAGTCAAAACACCAAAAAAAAAAATAATAATAATGGATGCAAATACAGAAACACAATATATGAAAAATGCTCTAACTGAACCTCCAACTCGGATTTAATCAAAAGCCAAAGAAAATAAATGGGTCTTCAGCAAAGATTTAAAAGCCTCAACAGTCTCTGCTGACCGAATATTAAGAGGCAAACTGTTCCACAGCTTTGGAGCAGCTGTTGCAAAAGCCCGGTCACCTCTAGATTTCAGTTTGGATCCAGGAACATCCAACAGAAACTGGTTGGTAGACCAGAGTGCTCTGACTGGAGTGTTGAAGTTAAGATTATCACATAAATATGACAGAGCCAGACCATTAAAAACTTTAAAAGCCATCAATAAAATCAATTTGCCCAGGATCTTCTTTGCTAGATATTTTTGTTTTATTTATTTTATACACTGTATTGATCTCCTGGTCTCTATATTTTACCCATTGCACACCTGCCAAATTACAGCACCCAGGGAGCAGCTGAAGGGTTAAGGGCCTTGCTCAAGGGTCCAAGGTGGGGCTGGTTGGTCCGGGGAGTTGTACCAGCGACCTTTCCATCATCGACTCATCTTCTCTAACCTCAACGCCACCACTCCCTCCAAACAGATTATCAAATATTTTATACTGGTCAGAGGTCTGGACTGCAGGCAGGTCAGGTCAACACAGGGACCTCACAAAGCCCTGCTGTTAGAATGGATGCAGTGTGTTGCTCAGCACTGTCTGTAAGGTACAAAAAAACTGTTTCAGTTTTGTCAATGGAAAATTTCCCAGTTTTCCACTGAGAAGTATTATTCTGAAAATGTTCCACAGCCTTTGGACTGTCTTTCACAGTCTGGTAAATCTCTGCCCATCTTTACGTCTGAGAGATTTAGCCTGTTTAAGATGCTGTTTTTGTATCCAGTGCTCTCACCAACCTTTTGCCAGTTAACCTAATTGGTTGAAAAATGCTCATACAGCTGTTTTTAATTTGTACTTCTTACATTTACAGACTTTTGCTGCCCTGTTCCCACTTATTAGACATATGTTGATGCCATAAAATTTAAGATTAACATAATTCTTTCCCCAAAAACTGTACAATTTAAATAATAAACAATTGATGTGTTTATTATGTTCAGCTGTGAATAAAATATGCATTTATGATTGTTTTCACCTAGATTTTACAGTGTCCCAACTTCATCAAAACTGGTGTTGAGTGTCGCAGAATATAATGTGAGCCTTTAAGAAGGGGAGGTTTGCTGCAGAAAACCATTCATTTTTTAAAGCTAAAGCAGAGTTACTGATGATAAAATGCAATAACATGTGATACACATGAAAACAGAAGCAAGGACATTTGTTTTCTTTCTGTTTTTGCCAGGTATCGAGGCCGAGTGCTGCTCATGCTGCCAGCCTGTGGTTTGTGGGGTAAGACTGTGCTGGCTGCCCTGCTGGCAGGCCTCCTGTTGTACCTGACCAGTCACCTTCTGGTGCAGAAAGGCCAATGCTGGGAACTGGTTTACCTGATTCCTGCTCTTTACACGCTGTTCAAAAGCTTGGGAGTCCTGGTGAGAATCATGTTACCCCTTCCCCCTACTCATTGTCTAACCTTTCTTCTACCCATTGGCTTTTAATCTAAAATCACAGAGTTGTGGTAAATGGACTGTACTTATCTCGTGCCTTACTATCCAACCAGGATACTTAAGTGCTTCACACTGTCCTCATTTACCCATTCACACAGTACTTTATTATGTCTCTCTACAGAGCTAATCTACATAAATCAATCTATAGAGACTAATCAGTGTTTTAAATCTCATTCATACACTGATGGGACACATCAGAGGCAGCGGGATTTCAGTGTCTTGCCCAGGGACACTTGGACATGTCACTGAGCAGAGGTGTCAGAAGTATTCACGTTCATTACTTAAGTAGAAGTATAACTACTAGGGTTTAAGAATACTTTTTTGGAAGTAGAAATGTCAAGTCAAGCTTTTTACTCAAGTAAAAGCATAAAAGTACTGGTTTTGAAACTACTTAATGTGTAAAAGTAAAAGTAATGAACACTTTAAAAAGTCATTCAGGATAAAAGCTTTTTTATTTGAAAATAGATATTTTATATAGCAG